TGTGGATCATGACAAATTATGAAAAACATTGAGAAGAATGGGAATTCCCAAACACTTGATTGTACTCATGAGGAACCTGTACCTTGACCAGGAGGCTGTCATTCGAATGGAACAAGGGGACACTACATGGTTTCAAATCAAGAAGGGAGTGTGTCAGGGTTATATACTTTCCCCACACTTATTCAATCTATATGCTGAGCAAATATCCGAGAAGCTGGACTATGTGAAGATAAACATGGCATCAGGATTGGAGGAAGATTCATTAACAACCTGAGATATGCAGATGATACAACTTTGCTTTCTGAAAGTGAGGATGACTTGAGGCACTTACTGATGAGTGTTGAAGAATACAGTCTGCAGTCCAGATTACATCTCAATGTAAAGAAAATAAAAAATCCTCACAACTAGACCAATGAGCAGCATCAAAATAAATGGAAAGAAGATTGAGGTTGTCAAAGAATTCACATTGCTTAGTTCTACAATCGACACCAATGGCAGCAGCAGTTGGGACATTAGACGACATGTAGCACTGGGCAGGTCAGTCACAAAGAAACTCTTTCAAGTGCTGAGGAGCAAGGATGTCTCCTTGAGGACTAAGGTGCACCTGACACAAACCATTATATTTTCAATCATCTCGAGTGCATGTGAGATCTGGACAATGAATAAAGAAGACCGAAGAAGAGTTGATGCTTTTGAGTTGTGGTGCTCGCGAAGAATGCTGAAAGTACCATGGACTGCTAAAAGAACTAACAGATCTGTCCTGGAGGTAGTGCAGCCAAAATGCTCCTTGGAAGCAAGAATGGCCAGAGTTGTCTCACCTACTTTGGTCATGTTGTCAGAAGGGACCATTCCCTGAAGAAGGATGTCATGCATAGTATGGTGGAGGGTCAACAAAAGAGGGGAATGCCTTGAACAAGATGGATTCACATGGTGGCTGCAACAATGGGCTCAAGTATAGCAAAATTCATGGGGCTGGTGTGGGATTGGGCAGCGTTTCATTCTGCTGTGCATGGGGTCACTATGACTTGGAAACGACTTGACAGCACCTAACAACAACAGTTGATATTTTACACTAGACATATTATACATGTATGTGACTTATATTAAAGCATATACAACAAAATGAAAATATCTTTAATCTAAAAAATAGCTCTCACTAATAAGCCAGAAAACAAGTGCTAACCAGAAGGCTGGCAGTTCAAACAAACCAGCCACTCCTCAGAAGGCAGGTTGGACAATCTACTTCTGTAGTGATACCACCTCGGAAACCCAAGGAGGGGTCGCTATGAGTTGGGTCCAACTCAAGGGCATATAACAACAACAACAACAACAACAACCATTTAGAGAACAAAATCAACTGCCAATCAATATAAGACAAGAAGAGTAATTTTGCTGGTACTAAATAAAATGCAGTTTAAATAACATGAAATAAAACTTTTTTTTTTTTAAACAAATTGCCAAAGTTTTAAAAAATAACAGTAGCCAGTTTTGGATTTGTTGTTATTAGGTGTCATAGAGTTGGTTCTGACTCATAGCAATATTATGTACAACAGAAGGAAATATTGTCCAGTCCTGTCATCCTCAAAATCATTGCTATGTTTGAGCCCATTGTTAAATCCATTCTTGCAGTCACTGTGTCAATCCATCTTGTTGAAAGTTTTCCTCTTTTTTGCTACCCTCTACTTTACTTTACTCCCTTCTCCTGGGACTGGTCTATCCCGATAATATGTCCAAAGTATGTGGGATGAAGTCTTGCCTTTTTCACTTCTAAGGAGTATTTGGCTGTACTTCCTCCAAGACAGATTTGTTTCTTCTGCTGGCAGTCCAAGGTATATTAAAATTCTTTGCCAGCACCGTAATTCAAAGGCATTGATTTTTCTTCAGTCATCCTTATTCACTGTCCAGCTTTCTCATACATATGAGGTGATTGAAAGACCATGGCTAGGGTCAGGCACGCCTTAGTCTTCAAATTGACATCTTTGTTCTTTAACACTTTATTTATTATTATTATTATTTATTCCTGGGCCATAGTATTGGGAGACTCACCAGATTTCATCTGACCAGTAATTCTGGTCATTATTGAGTTTTTGGATTTTGTTCCGTATTCCCTCCCACTCTATCCAGGATCTCCAGATTTGATCCTTTCCTGAGTGGTTAGCATTGGTAGCCAGGCACCATCTAGTTCTTCTGGTCTCGAGGTCCATCGTGTCCTAGGGCTGATTGCTTCTAAATGCCCTTGTTTTTTCTTTTTCTTTTCTTTTTTTTTTTGTGTGTGTATGCATTCTTCTTCACTTCCTAGGCCAGGAGACCGATGGCTGCTTGAAAGCTTTTACAACCCCAGACGCTACTCACCACTGTAGGATGTGGAACAACGCTCTTATGTATTTTGTTGTGTCAATTGAGTCTGGTGTCCCCCAGTACTATGGTCCTGATACAGTAGATCTATTGGACCTCTCTTCCACAGTGTCTGGCTGTCTGTGAGGGATTACTCCGCATCTGTCTTCTATTGTTTCTGTAAGGACTGCAAGTATTTTGTATCACTGGTGCCTGTGTAAGATTAGCCTCAGCTGAATCTATCCTTGGTCTAGAGTATACTTCTGTTCACTGACCCTGTCTGATCATCTCAGGTGTTTATGTGTTTATCTGTATAGCCTAGTGTTTAGTGTTAATGGCAATACAGTATTGTGGACACATTGGTTGGTATTAGCATCTGCCATCTATCCTTTATGTGTATAATACAGTGTTCCCCCATTTCCTAATGTTATTATGTGGTATCATATCCTTCCCATATATCCCTCCCCCTACCCATGTCAGCGTGTAAGCCCCAACTAGCCCAAAATTAATCCTTCCCCATCCTGGTAACCTACTAGGTGAGTTCCCTTTCCAAGCAAACTCTTCTCTAAAACAATTTAGAGACATGCTTCTAAACTACCCCACTCAGAAATAGAAAACTTGAACAGACCCATAGCAAAGGAAGAAATTAAACAGGTCATAACAAAGAAAAACCCTGGCCCTGATGGCTTCACTGGAGAATTCTATCAAATATTCAGAGAAGAGTTGACACCTATGTTACTCAAGCTATTCCAGAACATAGACAAAGATGGAGTACGTATAATATGTAGCTTGATTTCTTGACTGATGCTTCCATGGGTGTTGATTGTGGATGCAATTAAATGGAGTCATTGACAACTTCAATCTTTTCTCCATTTATCATTGTTCAGCTATGAGGATATTTGTTTTCTTTGTGTTGAGATGCAATCAACACTGAAGGCTGTAGTCTTTAATCTCCATCAGTACTTCAAGTTCTCTTTGCTTTCAGCAAGCAAGTTTGTGTCATCTACATATTGCAGCTTCTTAATGAGTCCTCCTCCAATCCTGATGCTCTGTTCTATATATAGTTCAACTTCTTGGAATATTTGCTCAGTTTAGTGATTGCATAAATATGGTGAAAGGTGAAAGGTCAAAACTTTGACACATACCTTTCCTAATTTTTAACTACACAGTATTCTCTAGTTCTGTTCAAACAATTGTTTGTTGGTCTATGTACAGGTTCCTCGTGAGCACAATTAAATGTTCTGGATTTCCCATTCTTTGCAATGTTAACCCATAATTCTTATGATCCACACAGTTGAATGCCTTTGCAAAGTCAATAAAGCACAGGTAAATATCTTCTGGTATTCTCTGCTTTCAGCCAAGATCCATGTGACATCAGCAATATTCCTTATTCCACATCCCCATCTAAATTTGGCTTGAACTTCTGACAGTTCTCTGTCAATGCACTACTGTAACTATTTTTGAATTATTTTTAGCAAAATTCTACTTGCACATGATATTAATGATATTGTTTGATAATTTCCATCTTCTGTGGGATCACTTTTCTTTGGAATGGGTGCATATATGGATTTCTTCCAGTTGGTTGGCCAGGTAGCTGTCTTCTAAGTTTTTTGGCATAGACAAGTGAGCACTTCCAGCAGTGCACCTGTTTGGTGAAACACCTCAAATGGCATTTCATCCTGGAGCCATCACTCATCTGTCAGTTTGTTGTACTGTGGTGGCTTTGTGTTGCTGTGATGTTGGTAGCTATGCCACTGGCATTTTAATATCAGCAAGGTCACACAGAGTGGACAGGTTTTAGTGGAGTTACCAGTCTAAGACAGACTAACAAGGACTTGGCAGTCTACATCTTAAAAAAAATATATATTGGCCACTGAAAGCATTAGGAATAAAACTCCAACACTGATATATTGCTGGAAGACGAGTCTCTTGGGTTGGAGGGCACCCAAAATAAGACTGAGGAAGAGCTACCTGCTCAAAGAAGAGTCAACCTCAATAACTTGGAGTAAAAGTTTTGGTACCTTCATTTGCTGATGTGGCGCAACACAAAATGAAAGAAACAGCTGAAGACATCCATTAATAATCAGAACATGAAATGTATGAAGTATGAATCTAGGAAAACTAGGAAGTTGTCAAAATCTAGGCAGTTGTCAAAAATGAAATGGAATGTATAAAGATTAATATTCTAAACCTTAGTTAACTGAAATGGAGTGGGTCAGTTTTGGGTTAGTTTGAGGGAAAAAATGGTGAATATAATCAACAAACTTTCTGGAGATTATTTAGCTAAAATATGCCAAAAGCCTTAATATCAACCCAGAAATTTTACTTATTGCTTGAAATATGAACATTTTATGTTATTATCATTGATTATTTGTTTTTCTTTAGATAAGTATTATATATTCAACCATATATACAATCATATATCATATTACATTACATTACATTATTAGATATATATAATTTTTACCAAAAGAAAATATAAGAATATCTTAGTATCTTACAAATTTGAATTATTTTTTCAACAAGGATGTAATGGTCAGTTTGTTGCATAGAAGTGCAAGAAAATTCTACTTTCCTTATAAAAAATCCAAGAATTAAGTTTGTTATCAATTTGTCTTACCACATGTGGAAGTTGCATCATACCTGAAAATAGCGGACCACTCGGCAAACCAGGTCAGGTGCCATGAAGTCTCCAGTGAATCGCCAAATAATGTCTGTCAAAATGTTGACCAGTCCTGTGAAAGAGTCTAGCAAAAATACATAGTAGTTAATTTCAGTTTCTTTAAAATTTGAAGCTCTATGGAGCAGTAGAAATGATTTCCTAGGAGAAATTGTTTCTCATTTATTGGAATCTTATTATAGCTACTGAGGAAAAGTAAGACAAGGCAACAATCCCTTGGCTTTGATTATAGAAGTATGTTACCCCTCAGATGTAACCACCTAGGAAGGATTTCAGTACTGACTAAAGAGGAATGTTGTTGTTGTTGTTGTTATGTGCCGTTGAGTCGGCCCCGACTCATAGCGACCCCTCCTTGGGTTTCCGAGGCAGTATCACTACGGAAGTAGGATTGCCCAACCTTCCTTCCGAGGAGTGGCTGGTGAATAGTACCAATCAAATAGGCAACTTTTTAAGTAGTAGAAAAGGAGTTTCAAGGGCATCAGATCAGTACTAATGCAAAGATATTTGAAGGTGAGTGAAGACCAAAATTGAGAAAAGCAAAATGTTTACCTTTGCGGGGAGTCCCTGGGTAGTGCAAATGGTTAATACGTTTGCCTGTTAACTGAAAAGTTGGAGTTTCAAGTCCACACCTCTGGCACCTCTGAAGAAAGTCCTGGGGATCTAATTTCAAAAACTCAGCCACTGAAAACTCTGTGGGGCACAGTTCTATTCTGACACATATGAGGGCACCATGACTTGGAGTTCTTTCTTTCTTTTTTTACCTTTAGGAAGTCCCCTAAGATTTCCCCTTTCTGCATAATTTGTATCTCTTACTCCCCACCCACTCCAGTTTCAACCCCCAGTTTCTTCTACTTGCTTCTCTTTTTCCCTTCCAAGACCTTCCTTTGAAGAGGTCAAGTCAATGATTTATCAACTTAATTAACACAGGTAGTTAAACTATAGAGGAACTGAGGCCAAGATCTCAGACCAAGTTCAGGAGTTTAGTATTCCTGTGAGCTAGTTGTCTTCACTCAATTCTGTAGTTGCAGACTATATAGCAGGGAAGGCAAACATGCTGCATGTACTTATAGCTCCTCTCACTCTATTGCAGACATCACTAATCGATCATATGACCAGAATTTTTCTCAAAGCAGTGCTGTGGATCAGGTAGTTGCCACAAAATGAATCACATGTGTCATCTTTGACTTACTTAGCCATTAAGTGGACTTTATATACAGGTGTTAATTTAATAGCATAAAGCTTTCAATTTAACTGGGAAAATAACTTAAAGGCCTGGTGATGATCAGCAAGTATTTGTATATTACCCTACAAAACAACAGAATATATGCTACTGACTCAAAAACAATATCTCTACGAATTCCCCAAGAAAAGGAACAAATTGGTAGTGATTGGAAAAGAAGTGAGAGAAAAATACTTGTCACCATGAATTTACAACAAGTCTGAAAACCAAGAGAACTACTCCAGATGTCTGTGCCCATGCTTGTCTTTTTATCACTTGTTGTTGTTGTTGTTATGTGCCGTCGAGTCGGACCCAACTCATAGCGACCCCTCCTTGGGTTTCCGAGGCAGTATCACTATGGAAGTAGATTGCCCCATCTTCCTTACTAGAACTCAACAAATGGATACCATAAACATGAAACAATATCCCTCCTTGAGGAGAAGGTAAAAGAACTGCACTGAACAATCTGCAGTGCTTCTAAACTGGGTGAGAAGAACAATCCATATGTTACATCAGAAAGAAGAAAGGTTTGATATAGTTAGTGGGATCAAAATAGCCTATTTGAACTAGTGAATAAAAAAGTGTTAGAGAAGAAAACATGGGGAAACAGCTGTGTGTTCCTGGAATTATTCCACAGGTTTGAGGAGAACTCCTATTGGGAGTATAGTTGATTAGTAGCCCCAGTTGTCATTATGGTTAACACTGAGGTCCTGTTTCCATCAGGGTGCTCTCAGCCAATACCTGAGCACAGTGTGGTACTAATGCTGACAATTTTTTGTCTGATAAGGAACTCATCTAATGGGCAATTTTTGCTTTGGTACCTCATTGACTTGGCTAAGGTTTTCTCAGAATTGTACTGTGATCTGAGGCTCTTTCTACCCTGTTTTTCTTTTCTTCTCTCCTTTAATAGGGTTGGAATTGTTTCATGTGTTGAAGGCTCTGACTACTTCTCCTCCCTCCCCTTTTACTCTTCACAGAGGGCACCAGACATGATCCTAGAGAATAGGTGGTAAAATGGGCTTTGGGGGCTGGCTCACTCACTACCTCTTTGGCAATGGAAACCTCTTCTTGAGTGGTAGGTAAGGCATGGGTAGTCCCTGCTACAAGGTGACTTGCCAATTGCTAAGTATTTTACCTGTGTTCATCTGGGAAACTGTCTGGGTGAAGGCAAACACCCTGCCTAGTGAGTTGATTCAGATGTAGGGAGAATAGCAGAGAGAGAATGAAAAATGGAGTGTTATTAATAAACAAATAGAGGCTGAGTATGAGCCAAATCTCATTAGTAGCCTACAAGGAGGCCCTTGTCTCCTCCAATGGGAGAAAAGACACAAATGAGGAGCAAACTTAGGATCCAATAGTTGAGGCTCAGACTGCCATAGACATTTAAATACTCAGCTATGGCAGGTCTGTTATACTAAGATCAAGGTTTTGGTGAGGGAAACCTGGAACCCCAAAACATGGAGTGGGAACATTTGGATGGATATCCCCATTGAATTTGGGTCTGTAAGACCCCTGAAACTTCAGAGCTGGCAGATATGGCCCCACCTCTCTGAAGTAAGAGCTAAGATTTAAATGTGAGCAACAGATGCAGAGGTCTTCTCCCAACAAGGCCTCAGGAGTTGCACTTACCTTCTCTCCTGGCTGCCAGGAGTATAGCAGAACAAATAAATATCAGCATAGGCTGGCTGGGGACATTCTGAGTAAGATAATGGAGGAAAGAGTTTATACCAAAAAAAGAAATGCAGTAATTAGCTAGCAAGTACCACCAGAAACTTCATGAATATTCCCCACCCCCCCTTTTTTTGTAGAGAAAAATGGAATATAAGATTGTATAAGTAAGAATTAATCAACTTCAGGTCACTTTCTTCAGACATGTGATATAGCACCCTATCTACAACCTTCTACATAAAGAAAACAAAAATCCTCATAACTAGATCAATAAGCAGCATCATGACAAATGGAGAAAAGATTGAAGTTGTCAATTGTGCTCACGTAGATAGACCAAGAGGCTGTCAATCAAACAGAATGAGGAGATGCCACATGGTTTAAAATCAAGAAGGGTGTGCACAAGGATTGTATCCTTCACCATACTTATTCAATCCATATGCTGAGCAAATAATCTGAGAAGTTGGGCTATATAAAGAAGAATGCAACATCAGGATTATAGGAAGACTCATTAACAACCTGTAATAGGCAAATGACACAACTTTTCTTGCTGAAAGTGAAAATAACTTGAAGTATTTATGATGAAGATTAAAGACTACAATATTCAGTATGGATTACATCTCAACATAAAGAAAACAAAAATCTTCATAACTAGACCAATAAGAAACATCATGATAAATGGAGAAAATATTGAAGTTGTTGAGGATTTTATTTTACTTGGATCCACAATCAACACTCATGGAGTTGGCAGTCAAAAAATTAGATGTTGTACTGCACTGGGCAAATCTGCTGCAAAATACATCTTTAAGGTGTCAATGAGCAGAGATGTCACTTTGAAGACTAAGGTGTGCCTAACCCTAGCCATGGAATTTTCAATTGTCTCGTATGCATGTGAAAGCTGGACAATGAATAAGGAAGACTGAAAAAGACTTGATTCCTTTGAATTGTGGTATTGGTGAAGAATACTGAAAATACCATAGACTGCCAGAAGAATGAATAAATCTGTCCTGGGAAAAGTACAACCAGAATGCTCCTTAGAAGTGGGAATGGCCAGACTTTGTCTCACCTACTTTGGTCATGTTGTCAGAAAGGACCATTCCCTGGAGAAGGATATCATGCTTGTTAAAATGGAGGATCAGCAAGAAAGGGAAAGACTCTCAGCAAGATGGATTGACACAGTGGCTGTAACAATGGGCTCGGGTATAGCAATGACTGTAAGGCTGGTGCAGGACTGGGCAGTTTCATTCTGTTGTACATAGGGCTGCTATGAGTCAGAGCTGACTTGACAGCAACTAACAACAATAACAATCTAGGACCCCAGAACATAGGGCAAATTCACTTCTAGGGCACATTTTAGAAGCCTGGAGAAACTGAGTCTCCTTCCTAAGGTCCTTAATTTTTCTTTAATTAAATGGAAATGACTTTATTGCTCAGATAGACAGTAGAGAAAAGAATAAAAAGGTAAGGGAAATAGACTTGCTGTAATTGATATATTATGTAAACCCAGAAGACTCACCAGAGAATTATCTTTCATGAGAGGGCTCAGAATACACATCACTCATTAAGGCTATTGGGAATGCACTACTGAGGAAGGTGGCAGCATCATGGAGAAGCTCAAAGGTGGTTCCCCTCTGCAGGGCAGGACAACGGTAGGAGAGGAGGTCACAGAGCCAGGCCTTGCAATGCTATGGCAAGTATATACTGTAATGATTCTCCTAGTCCTTTACCAAAGGGACCAATAACCATTTACTTACATAACTATACTAGGGATAAGGGAATACCCAGACATTTTGAGGACTATTAGATACAAAGTTTGAGTTGATATGATACCCTGAGACCTGAAGTGTCATTATGTGCCTGCTATTAGAGTAGGATTTTATGGGCCAAGTAATAAATGGATCTTGGCTACAGAGAGACAGTACACTAAATACACAGGCCTTCCCAATGGTTAGTTCCCCAGTCCCTGGGTATTTTATTGGGAATGACATACTTGCAGTTGTAACCACATGTCACCTTCCCCATCATAGTCGGCTAAACCAAGTGAAAGCCTTTAATTTACCAGTTTTGTTTGAATCCTGGAGATTGACTTTACACTACCATAGGCTCTAACAAGTAGTAGCCCTTATTATACCTAAAGTGCTCAATGTAGTATCCTTGAGGGAGGAGATTAATTAATGAATTTA